AGGCAAACGGGAGGGCCGTGCAGATACGGCGGGGAAAAATCAGCGCGGCCGGCGCGGTGCCCTCTGCGGTTCCGCACCCCCTAGCCGCCAGATAACAGCTGCCTGCGGCTGCGCCGGGGGGAGAGCGGGCACGCTAGGACCCGAAAGATGGTGAACTATGCCCGAGCAGGACCAAGCCAGAGGAAACTCTGGTGGAGGTCCGCAGCGATTCTGACCTGCAAATCGATCGTCCGACTTGGGTATAGGGGCAAAAGACTAATCGAACCTAATACTAGTAGCTGGATCCCTCCGAAGTTTCCCTCAGGATAGCTGGCGCCCGGGAAAAGAGAGAGAGCAGTTGCATCCGGTAAGCGAATGAAAGACACATCCTTCGATGTGGGCTCTGCCTATCATTGCAAAGCAGAATTCGCGAAGCGTTGGATTGTTCACCAATTAATAGGGAATGTGAGCTGGGTTTAGACCGTCGTGAGATTAGAGGTCGCCACCACGGCATTCCTGCTCAGTTCGAGAGGAACTGCAGATTCGGACACTGGTTCAGGCGTTCGGGGAGAGGCCGGTCGTGCAAGTCTACCACCCGAGAGATTACGGCTGAATTCCTCCAAGTTGAAATCTCTGCTGGTGCGCGGCGATGCCGCCGGCGTCCCGCCCAAGGGCGGTCCGCATCAGCGCCCGCCCGCTCTTGCATTGGGTGGCCGGGCCGACTCCACCACAGTCCCCGTCCAGGGGCCAGGAGCTCCGGCGGAACCGCCGTCTCGAGAGGGACACCAGATCACTAGCAGACGACTTGGGTATGGATCGGGGTGTTGTGCCCAGTAGAGCAGCTGCTTCGCTGCGATCTGCTGAAACTAAACCTTTCGATCCAAGGGATTTGCCCGCACCGCAGACGGGCCGATCCTGGCGGGCCGGATCGGAGGACGGGCGGCGGCGGCGGGAGGAGGCGGCTGCCGGGAGAGGTTGGGGCGGCGGGGTGGGTTGTGGTGGGCCGGCCGGCAGGCGGCCTTCGGGCGGGCCGGACCCAGAGGAGGGGGAGACGGGGGAGGACCTGCGGCGAAATAGGGCCCGCCAGGACTGACGGCAGAGTGAACCAGCGCTCGCCTGGCGGCCTGGGATGAGCTGCTGGGCCGCAAGTCTGATCGGGTTGCCCCAAACCGACTTCAAATCCAGGGTTGGCAGTATACCCCACAGGAGGGCTTTTGGGGAGTAGCGCCGGGGCGACGAGTTTCCAAGTCGGTCCCAATGCCGTCGTGCGACGGGCCGTCGGGCGGGGAGGGACCCGGGACTGCAGCCCGGGGACAGAGTCTCGCACCGGGCGGCGCCGGTCCCGCCGTGGGTGCCGGACGGGCGGCGTTGCGTGGGAGCCCGCTGAAGATTTGTTCCTCGGACTTCGTGTTCCGCAAAAGATTTGATCACCGGTTTCGACCCGACTTGGGCGCGAAAACCGACTCGTCCCCACCTGCGAACGCGTCGGCGACGCACCCCGGCTCTCAA